GGCCACATGTTAGATATCCCCCCCTGGGAGCCCCAAGAGGCTTCAGGAAGCCCCAGGTGGGGTCCAGGAGGCCACAGGAGGCCCAGGAGGAAAGCCCCAGGAGGTCACCAGGAGGCGCCAGGAGGCACCAGGAGGCCCCCGCAACTCGGAGCTCTGAGACGCCGCGCTCGAGGTGGTCCGGCCCGTTTCGCCTGAGACTTCCTCGCAGCACGTTTCGCCCGAGACATCGTCGCAACTCTGGGGTCCGAGATGCCGCGCGCGAGGTGGTCCAGCCCGTTACGCTGGAGACATCCTCGCAACTCTGGGCTCCGAGATGCCCTGCGCGAGGTGGTCCGGTCCATCTCGCCTGAGACATCCTCGCAACTCTGAGCTCTGAGATGCCGTGCGCAAGGTGGTCCGGCTTGTTTCGCACAAGACGTTCTCGCAACTCTGAGCTCTCAGATGCTGCGCAAGAGGTGGTCCAGCCTGGGGGCCCAGAAGACCACATGTTACATATCCTCCTGGGACCCTGGGATCCCCAGAGGCCCCAGAGGAGCTTCAGGAGGCCCGCAGGACGCAGGACGGCCCCAGGGGTTCCGCAGGAGATTCCCAGGAGGCTCCCAGGAGGCCCCAGGAGGCTCCCTAACAGAACGTGTCAAGTTAATACACATCCGGTGTCGATTCGTTGATTTTTTCTGCTCTTGTGGCCCCCCCTTTATTTTGAGGGGCCCAAGCAACCACAGGTTAGATATCCCCCCTGGGAGCCCCAAGAGGCTTCAGGAAGCCCCAGGCGGAGTTCACGAGGCCACAGGAGGCCCAGGAGGAAACCCCAGGAAGTCACCAGGAGACCCCAGGAGTCACCAGGAGGCCCCCGCAACTCGGAGCTCTGAGACGCCGCGCTCGAGGTGGTGCGGCCCGTTTCGCCTGAGACTTCCTCGCAGCACGTTTCGCCCGAGACACCGGCCCGTCTCGCCTGAGATATCCTCGCAACTCTGGGCTCCGAGATGCCGTGCGCAAGTTGGTCCGGCCCGTTTCGCAGAAGACATTCTCGCAACTCTGAGCTCCCAGATGCCGCGCAAGAGGTGGTCCAGCCTGGGGGCCCAGACGACCACATGTTACATATCCCCACTGGGACCCTGGGAGCCCCAGGAGGCCCCAGAAAGCTCCAGGAGGCCGCAGGACGCCCAGGACAGGCCCCAGGGGTCCCGCAGGAGATTCCCAGGAGGCTCCCAGGAGGCCCCAGGAGGCCCCCTATCAGAACGTGTCAAGTTAATACACATCCGGTGTCGATTCGTTGATTTTTCCTGCTCTTGTGGCCCCCCCCCCCCATTTGGGGGGGCCCCGACGGCCACATGTTAGATATCCCCCCTGGGAGCCTCAAGAGGCTTCAGGAAGCCCCAGGCGGGGTCCAGGAGGCCCCAGGAGGCCCCAGGAGGCCTACGCAACTCAACTCGGAGCTCTGAGACGCCGCGCTCGAGGTGGTCCGGCCCGTTTCGCCTGAGACTTCCTCGCAGCACGTTTCGCCCGAGACATCGTCGCAACTCCGGGGTCCGAGATGCCGCGCGCGAGGTTGTCCAGCCTGTTACGCTGTTGACATCCTCGCAACTCTGGGCTCCGAGATGCCCTGCGCTCCGGTCCATCTCGCCTGAGACATCCTCGCAACTCTGAGCTCTGAGATGCCGTGCGCAAGGTGGTCCGGCCCGTTTCGCACAATACATTCTCGCAACTCTGAGCTCTCAGATGCTGCGCAAGAGGTGGTCCAGCCTGGGGGCCCAGAAGACCACATGTTACATATCCTCCATGGGACCCTGCGAGCCTCAGGAGGCCCCAGAGAGCTTCAGGAGGCCGCAGGACGCCCAGGACAGGCCCCAGGGGTCCGCAGGAGATTCCCAGGAGGCTCCCAGGAGGCCCCAGGAGGTCCCCTATCAGAACGTGTCAAGTTAATACACATCCGGTGTCGATTCGTTGATTTTTCCTGCTCTTGTGGACCCATTTGGGGGGGGCCCAAGCAACCACAGGTTAGATATCCCCCCCTGGGAGCCCCAAGAGGCTTCAGGAAGCCCCAGGTGGGGTCCAGGAGGCCACAGGAGGCCTAGGAGGAAGCCCCAGGAGGTCACCAGGAGGTCCCACGAGGCCCCAGGAGGCCCCCGCAACTCGGAGCTCTGAGACTTCCTCGCAGCACGTTTCGCCTGAGACATCGTTGCAACTCTGGGGTCCGAAATGTCGCGCGCGAGGTGTTCCAGCCTGTTACGCTGGAGACATCCTCGCAACTCTGGGCTCCGAGATGCCCTGCGCGAGGTGGTCCGGCCCATCTCGCCTGAGACATCTTCGCAGCTCTGAGCTCTGAGATGCCGTGCGCAAGGTGGTCCGGCCCGTTTCGCACAATACATTCTCGCAACTCTGAGCTCTCAGATGCTGCGCAAGAGGTGGTCCAGCCTGGGGGCCCAGAAGACCACATGTTACATATCCTCCCTGGGACCCTGGGAGCCCCAGGAGGCCCCAGAGAGCTTCAGGAGGCCGCAGGACGCCCAGGGCAGGCCCCAGGGGTCCCCAGGAGATTCCCAGGAGGCTCCCAGGAGGCCCCAGGAGGCCCCCTATCAGAACGTGTCAAGTTAATACACATCCGGTGCCGATTCGTTGATTTTTCCTGCTCTTGTTGCCCCCCTCTCATTTTTGGGGGCCCCGACGGCCACATGTTAGATATCCCCCCCTGGGAGCCCCAAGAAGCTTCAGGAAGCCCCAGGTGGGGTCCAGGAGGCCACAGGAGGCCCAGGAGGAAGCCCCAGGAGGTCCCCAGGAGGTCCCTGGAGGCCCCAGGAGGCCCCCGCAACTTCACTCGGAGCTCTGGGACGCGCGCTCCGAGGGTCCGTTCCCTTTTCGCTGAGACGTCCTCAGCGGGCCCTTCGCCTCGGACATCGTCGCAACTCCGTGGTCCGAGAATGCCGGCGCGCGAGGTTTCCCAGCCCTGTTACGCTGGAGACATCCTCAACCCAAACCCGCACCCCCACCACAACCCCCCCCCACACAACCCACCCCCCACCCACGCAACTCTGGGCTCCGAGATGCCCTGCGCGAGGTGGTCCGGCCCATCTCGCCTGAGACAGACTCGCAGCTCTGAGCTCTGAGATGCCCTGCGCAAGGTGGTCCGGCCCGTTTCGCACAATACATTCTCGCAACTCTGAGCTCTCAGATGCTGCGCAAGAGGTGGTCCAGCCTGGGAAGCCCCAGGTGGGGTCCAGGAGGCCACAGGAGGCCCAGGAGGAAGCCCCAGGAGGTCACCAGGAGGTCCCAGGAGGCTCCAGGAGGCCCCCGCAACTCGGAGCTCCGAGACGCCGCGCTCGAGGTGGTCCGGCCCGTTTCGCCTGAGACTTCCTCGCAGCACGTTTCGCCCGAGACATCGTCGCAACTCTGGGGTCCGAAATGTCGCGCGCGAGGTGGTCCAGCCTGTTACGCTGGAGACATCCTCGCATCTCTGGGCTCCGAGATGCCGTTCGGGATGAAGAGGAGGTGGATGAGGAGGAGGAGGAGGAGGAGGAGGAGGAGGCATGTTTTAACATGCCTTGCCAGCCCGCGCTGGACGGGCACGCAATCGACCTTGGAAACCGCAGTGGGTCTAAAAGCCCTGTTTGGGGATACTGCACTCCGGCTATAAATTTATAGGATAAAGGAATATATATATATATATAAATATATATATCATCGAAAGGGAGTGTCGAAAAAAAACGAATGAGGACGATTGAAGACCGAGGGGAAGGAAGAGTTGGATGAGGAGGAGGAGGAGGAGGAGGAGGAGGATCCAGGATCAAACAAAGAACCAATGAGGAAGAGGAGGAAAAGGAGGAGGAGGAGGAAAAGGACAGAATAGAACGCGGAATGGGTAGGAGTGCGAAACGGAATGGAAGCAAACGCCGGAACAGGAAGGAGAAGCGAGGAGGATTACGAAGAAGACGAGAAGGAGAAGCGAGGAGGAAGGAGAAGCGAGGAAGGAGAAGCGAGGAGGAAGGAGAAGCGAGGAAGCGAGGAAGGAGAAGCGAGGAAGGAGAAGCGAGGAGGAAGGAGAAGAGCCAAGTGGAGCAGGGTGGAATGGAAAAGTGGGGAGGTGAGGAGTGGAGAGGGAGGCGGAATCATGGGGAACATCCTTTTAGTCATTGTTTCCACGCTGTTCCTCGTCGCTCTCTTGATTCCGCTCTCTATGCGATGCTGCTTCCTGTGGTTCCTGCTCCTGCTGTTCCCCGCTCCTCCTGCACACTGCTGCCCCTTCCTCCGCAAACCATCCCACTGGGGGCTCTGGACACTGGACGCCAGGCTCTGGACACCAGGGGCTCTGGACTCTTTTTTGGTCCGCGGGTCGAGAGCGCACCTCTTCTGGTCGAAGGTAAGCGGGCCGCGCGAAGCCTGAATTAGGTAGAGAAGGGGGGGAGGAAGCGGCGGAGCCTCAGAGCGAGGCCGAGAGGAAGGGGCTCTGGACACTGGACGCCAGAGTCTCTGGACACCGGTCGCCAGACCCCTGGCCCAGGCCCCGGGCCGGGGCCCCAGACACTGGACGTGGGAAGCCGGACGCCAGAGTCTGGGCCGGGCCTGAGCCCGGGGCCCCTGGCCCTTGGCGACCAAAAGGCCTTATTTGGGAGCGTGCTTCTTTATTGCTTGGATTGCTTGGGACACAGTGGGCATTATAGCTCACCCCTTTCCTATAACGCAACGCCCCTCCCCCCCCCCCCCACAGCGCGCTCCGTGCCTTGCCGCCGTGCGCATGGCGGGGGGGAGGCGTTATATTATACCCCCCCTGGCCCCTGCCCCCCCCCTATAATGGCCATTATCGCCGAAAATAAAGAAACGCGCTCTTTGGGGTCTCCCTTTTGTTCTTCGTGTCTCCCGCAGCGCGCTTTCTCGTTTTCGCCTTGTCGTGCCTCCTGGGAGGCCCTCGTCGTCACGGTTGGATTCGTCTCGAAACTTTGGCCAGAGGGCACCCCGCGAGGGAGGTCCGGGGAGCAGCGGCATCGGTGCCTCGTGGCTTTCCCCAGGACCCGGCCGAGCGGGAGAGGTTGGAGTCGCGCGTCCGGGCGCTGAAGGAGAAGCGGCGCCTCCTCCAGAGGTCGTGGGCGGGGAACATGCTCACATCCACGGCCTTGCGGGCGGGGCCCCAGGGCCGCGACGCCACGGGTACGGGCCGTTTTGTCTGCGGATGCCAGGCGCTGAGCGCATCCATGCGACCTAGTATTCACGGAGCCGCGCCCCAGAGTCCAGACCGTGAGGGCGTGGATGAGGACATGTTCGCCGCTCGTGGAGAGGAGCCTGACCAGGCCGGCGGAGAACGCGTCCCTCGTCGCCACGACTTGGTCGCCGCAGGCGCGCGCGGAGAAGTCGCAGGTGCGAGAAGCAGAACAATAGCTTCGACCGCGCGGACATTCGTGCGTGAGCTGGCCGCGCAAGGTCGCGCGTGCTGCGCGCCCTCGCCTCCAGCAACGCTGGCGGCCCGCGTTGGTCACCGCGTAGGGTTAAGTCGGGCCTGTCCCTCTACAGGAGGAGTAACCAGAAATAGTTTAAAAAAAAAAAAAGTCTGGGGACGTTTTTTTGAATATTTTTTGTTGAGTACTTTTGATTTTGCATCCGGCATCCCCCTGTAGGGGGACGTGCCCGACCGAAGCGTAGGGTCCCGAAGCCTTCCTGCGTAGAAGGCCCGTCGCTTCTCGCCGCCCAGGTTCAGGAGGAAAAGAAACACACAGACACAATTAATCGTCGACTCTCCAGAAAATATAGGACAATATGGGAAGTGGCGGGGAAGACAAAAACAGAGAAAATATGGGAAAATATGGGGAATCTTTTTATTACCTAACAGCGAAGACTGATAGGTTTCTAGTTGACTCAAAAGAGCTCACAGATCACTCCACAGGGGGGTCCGGGCAGGCGTTGGGAGTTGCCGGCCGGGCCTGTGCCGGGCTCGTTTTTCACCAACAGTCACACACTTCGTGCTCGTCGACCTCTCAGAACCCCATTCCCAGGCCACATTCTGAATAACCGGATGCAACAGTCATACACTTCGTGCTCTTCGACTTCCCAGAACTCCATTCCCGGGCCACATTTTGGATGCCCGGAGCCAACTGTACGCCACTTCGTCCTCTTCGACTTCCCAGAACTCCACTCCCGGGCCACATTTTGGATGCCCGGAGCCAACTGTAGGCCACTTCGTGCTCTTCGAGTTCCCAGAACTCCATTCCCGGGCCACATTTTGAATGCCCGGAGCCAACTGTAGGCCACCTCGTGCTCTTCGAGTGCCCAGAACTCCATTCCCGGGCCACATTTTGAATGCCCGGAGCCAACTGTAAGTCATTTCGTGCTCTTCGAGTGCCCAGAACTCCACTCCCGGGCCACATTTTGAATGCCCGGAGCCAACTGTAAGCCACTTCGTGCTCGTCGAGTTCCCAGAACTTTATTCCCGGGCCACATTTTGATGCTGATGCAGAGGCTGAGAATGGTGATGCTGATGCTGAGGCTGAGGCAGGCAGGCTGAGGCTGATGAGGCTGAGGCAGGCTGAGGATGAGGCCGAGGCTGAAGGCAGGCTGAGGCTGACGCTGAGGCAGGCTGAGGCTGAGGCAGGCTGAGGCTGAGGCTGAGGCTGAGGCAGGCTGATGCTGAGGCAGGCTGAGGCTGAGGCTGAGGCTGAAGGCAGACTGAGGCTGAGGCAGGCTGAGGCAGACGCTGAGGCAGGCTGATGCTGAGGCTGAGGCTGAGGCTGAGGCTGAGGCTGAGGCTGAGGCGGATGCAGGCTGATGCTGAGGCAGGCTGAGGCACAGAGGCTGAGGCTGAAGGCAGACTGAGGCTGAGGCTGAAGCAGGCTGAGGCTGAGGCTGAGGCAGGCTGAGGCTGAGGCTGAGGCAGGCTGATACTGAGGCAGGCTGAGGGTGTGACTGCGACTGCCGCTGCCACTGCGACTGTCATCGCGAATGCGACTGCGACTGCGAGAACAGCAGAACTCTACAACTGGATTCTCATCTGAATCTTAAGGGGAATGCTTCCATATATGCTTCTACACATCGCTGTTAGGTTGCTTTGCCGGGATAATTTGTGTGTATTTATTTGTGTGTCCTGGGGCCCCTTTAAGGTGGCCGCCCAGAGGGAGGCGGAGAGGCGGGCCGCCGCGGCTCGCCGGCGGGAGGAGGCGGAGGCCGAGCTCGAGCGGCAGAGGCCCGCGGAGGGCACGGGGGTCTCCACCGCCCGGAGCGTGTTATTCCGCGCTCCCCCCGGAGGCGAGCGAGGGGGGGGGGGGGAAGGGAGGAGGAGGATGAGGAGAGGAGGAGAGGAGGAGGGAGGATAAAGGAGAGGAGGAGGGGGGCAGATGAGGAGGGGAGAGGAGGAGAGGAGGAGGAGGAGGAGGAGGAGGAGTGAGGAAGAGGAGAGGAACAGGGAGGAGGTGAGGGGGGAGAGGAGGAGGGGCTTCCCAGAATGCGGCGCGGGCTCCTGGATCAGCACGAGCGAAACGGTGCGAAATGGCACGAATATGTGGTGCGGAAATGTTTGGGACAGCTTTTGCTCTTGGGCATTTAATCGCTTCGCTCATTCCGCCGGCCCCTATTGTCGCACCGTTGTGGGCTAGCCGAGTTTTGGGGCCTCTTGGGGGCCGTTTTGGGGCCTCTTGGGGCCTCTTTTGGGCCTCTTGGGCGCCTCTTGGGTCGTCTTGGGGGCCTCTTGGGGGCCTCTTG